AAAACAACCAAGCTCAGAGAACCCCAAGGACTCCATAGTTCAACCCTGAGCTACACATATTTGCTTCTATTGGTACACTCAGTTTTTTAAGAGTTCCTTACTTTTTTTTTTAATGTACCTTTGAGTCAGTGTTGACCTCCAGTGACTCCCTGGACCTACTCCTGGCAGTCTTCTTGATAAAGTTTTTTTTTTTTTAAAGTGGTTTGCCATTGCCTCCTTCCCAGGGCTCAGAGAAAGTGACTGGGCCACGATCACCCAGCTGGTCCTCTAATTTCTCATTTTTATGTTAATGGACTTTCAATATTGTTTCCTAATTAATTCAAGAAAATGTTGCCTTAAAGGTTCAGGAGATACATTATAGTTATTTTGTATTATTTAAACAAAATATGAGAAAAAAAGTGATACTTCATATCATACCTTGTATTTTGAACATGACATCAGCTAATACCGTTGTGTTAAAGAAAAGTCTGAGAGAGCTGTTACATAATTGTAGAGGTCTTTCTGACAAATAAGTTCTATAATTCTGTGAACTGTTAACCTGCAGAATGATAAGATGGTTAAATATTTGAGAGCTAATGCTTTTTAACTATCTATCTATCTTTGCTACTGCTTTTATAACAAATGAAATCAAATTTATCTTTGGTCCTTCCATTTCACTGTTTTATAAACATCTGCTCCATGACACTTGATCTCCAGATCTTCCTTAATTATTTTTCTACTACCATCAATTTGTATCATATAGTGGTTCATACTTTCTAGGTGTAACTGTCATCATCAGACATTTATTTTGATTCAGGCATGCTGAGTTCAAAGCAATTGGAAGATTTCAGTTCTCATTCACATTATAGATACTCACATAATGTCAGTAAGTATATTTTTCTCTGTCAACTGTGGGAGGCACAATCTCACTTGACAATTATGGTACAATATTTATTGCAAGTATCAACCTTCCAAGGGAGAAAGGGTGCCATGGGCAGAATCTTACCAGCTGAGATGTTTGTGCTCATTCCTAAATGAAAATCCAGGGAACTGGAAATCTAACCTCATAAAAAGATGTCCCAGAAAAGAACAACTGAATGAGTACTGGGCTCTTTTGCAAAGGTGAGAGAACAGCTTAAAGTGCTGCTAACATGATGGGTCAGAAGGAAGCTTTAGTACTACCACAAACAAGCAGAACCCAAGTCCTGAAAAGATAACACAAGGGAACTCCTGGGAAGGCAGTTGTGAGAAAAGAGAGACAGTCTTTATTATAGTAGTACTGTTTCTGTAAAGAAGTACACCTGTTATTCCAGATTTGGAAAATGAAGTTACCAGGAAAAATATAGGTTAGAAGAATTTGGCTTTCAAGGAAGAATTTAGTTAAAAATTCCATAATGTCTAATGCTTTAATCAGAGTTGTGTACTCTTGCAATCAACACGATTCTGCCTCTCTTTCAATCCAAAGTATAACTTTTTTGTAATAATGACGAAGCACATCTATACAATCTCACCTCACCCTACTTTGCTCTGTATTTTATCCAACAGGAAAAAATATTATATTTTATCTATCTTCGGAATGTTTTCTCTCATTATGCCATCCTACATCCTACTGATAGTGAAAGAAGGAAAATGTTGGTCTAAAGAAAAGATCATGCCAGTGCATAAACAAATAAAGACCTCTTCAAGTTAAGCTCAGCTCCCACGGACTACAAAGACACATCCATGTAGTTTTCCTGGCAATGTTATACAAGTGGCTTACTAGTGTCTTTTTCTGGGATATGTTCTTAATTTTACCAATCCTACAGCCCTAGAACTCCTTAGTGGTCTCCCATCTAAATACTAACTATGCCGAATCCTGCTTAGCTTTCAAGTTCAGACTCAGATAAGGTTGAGCAGTTGTTGCCACCTGCTGAAACATGGAAAAGGATAAAAGGCTAAATTGGCTTTTCTTTCTGTAGAATAAACAGAGAGGATGAGGGAACTTGGGAGATGGATATGTATCACCCTAGAAGTGATACATCCTTGACGTGACAGCAATTACAAGTGCAAATATTATTTTCCAATATAGCATCCACTTTACACATACAGATGCAGCCAGAAGTATTGGTATCCTTCTACTTTTTCCCAAAGAATCCCAATTTGTCATGAAATAAGTTAAAACTGACACAAGTAAATGGCATCCACCATTCTTCACAGGTAGTCCTAGGGTTACAATGGCAATTGGGACCAGGATTGCCGTCCATCACTGAGTGATGGAGTCATAAAAAGCGACGTCACATGACCACATTGCTTAGCGACAACAATCCCAGTTGCCATCATAATCCCAAGATGTGCAGGTCGTTAAGCGGGAAGTGGCAGAAGTCCCAGGTAAGAAGCACAGGGGTGACATCAAGGGGGTGCTTCGGGGGGGTGGGGGAGGCCAGGGGAGACCCTGGAAGGGCCTTTGCAGGCCGTGCATAAGTTGGGGGAGGCTGGGAGAGGGCTTGAGAGATTTGACACAGGCCGCATGCATGCAGGAAGATGGAGGGAGTGGATGGCACAGCAGGGTGTGAGTGCAGGAAGGCCAGGAGGCAGATGGCGCAGCACAAGCACAGGAAGGCTGGGGAGCGGATGGGGTGGCAGGATGTGGGGGGTGGATGGTGCAGCATGACCACAGGAAGGTCAGGGGATGGATGGCATAGTGGGGCACAAGCACAGGAAGGCTGGGGAGCGGATGGTGTGGCAGGATGTGGGGGGTGGATGGTGCAGCATGACCACAGGAAGGTCAGGGGATGGATGGCATAGTGGGGCACAAGCACAGGAAGGCCAAGGGAACTT